AAAATGAATTACTCCTTTGATATCCCAATGAACGCTCAAAACATTTCCATAAACTTCTTTGATATTCTTTGCGGCTACAGAGGCATTGTTTCCCTTCTTGTATTCAAGCAGCATTACATGGCAAATGTGTGTCTCATTGTGCACTATCACTATAAGGGATTAGAGTATACTAAACTTTACACATTATATAGGTTATACTAATGTTACGTTTAGGTAGTTTGTTTAACTATTATACATGATGTACGTTTTTGGGGGATGGTTAATGAAAGTGTTCCAAAACGCGACATCAATTTCTTGACGACCTAATATATATATACTTAAATGAATAAATAATTATGACACTCACCACAATAGGTGTAGATAACATTTTGGTTACAGAATCTAACTTGCAGATTGTAGAGTACTGTAAAACAGAACATCATTTCATTCATATAATGCTTGAATTAACAAAGTGCAAGTGTTATCACTTATAACTGTAATTAAATAATGTATTAGTCAATTTTTGAGCAAAAACAAACAGCTATTTTACAAAAGATTTGAGAAATATAGAAACATCATTGTTTATTACATCATAAAACCAATCTTCAGTAAAACCAGTAAACATTTCTATTTTACCTTAATAAAATGTGAAGTATAATAATGTAAGTATTGTGCTAAATTATGATTCATTAGTTATCAGACATAAAAAGTACAAGAACATGCACAAGGAATCATAATGTTCACATAACACTCACAATCTTTAGCCAACAATAATTATACATGCAAATAACAATAGCAAATTCTAAAATTCAATCATAATCTGTTAGAACTCCTTTATTTACTAAAGCCCCTTTAACTCCATTTGATAAACATTCAATTTCTTTTAAAATGAGAATTTTGTAAAGAGAAATAATCTTTACATACTGGGATTATATTTATTTTAAAATAAAAAAAACACTCAAAAACTACTGTACTAATCAATATTTTTGTATACAGATTTACTAAATAATTATATTATTCACTGTTGTTTTTTATTTATGTACCAAAATTACTTAAGTTCAACAAATGAAGGCTTACATGCATTTCAGCGCTGATTTATGAGGAAAGGAAACCTTTTGACTGGCTTTTGAAAACTTATTTATTGCACTATTTTATATGACTCTATGACACTTATGTCCTATGTATATCAGAATAAGCTATGAAGAATACATTAAAAAATTTTCTGTTGTGCTTTTGGTCATGGAGATATCACCCTCCAAACATGGGACCTCTACAAAGGTAATCATCACATTCTTTTAAATAGCAATATCTATGAACAGAAGGTGCTAGGTAGAGAAGTAAATGTATATTAAGAGCATATGTGAATAAAACAAGGCATTATATGTTGTTATGAGTTCAAAACATGCATATTTCTGCTACAATAAGGGAAAATAATAATAAAATTATGCATTTAGTAACAAAATATGCATGCAAGTTCCAAAGTAGGAAATTTATCAGCTGTGTTGTGTAAATTACAAAACAATGATACAACTGATAAAATATTCTTGTCAGTTGGCAAGGTCAGATTAAAGCAAAAGTTATTGTGGATGTAGCCCCAGGCTTGGGCTCAAAATAGGCCCATTATAAAAAAAACAAAAACTAGTCTTCATTTTTTTTTTAGGAAAATGCTTAATAAAAATCATTTGACTGAATCTACTTATTTTCAATGAGAGAGAGAGAGAGAAGAAAAAAAAGAAAGAAAGAGAGAAAGTGTATGAGATGTGGACAGGCAGAGATTTAATTGGCTTGCCTCCAAATAATGTGACTAGGTGTAGCTCTACTATGACCTAGCACATTTGCATACAATTTTCAATTCAAATACACTAGGTCTAAACAAGGATAGACCTAGTCATGTTAACTGAATGATAGGCCTCAGCCAATCAAAATCTCTTCACTCCACATTTTCATGATGCTGTCAGCCAGACTCCTCCTTCACGGCTTGTGTCTGACACGTCATTTCTTATCATATGACCAAGTAGTAAGCCTGGAACGTGACTAGAGGTAAGTTGCTAGGCTACGTTGAAAATACCTATATCTTTCAATTCATCCCTTTGAAAGGCTTCAGATTTTGTTCAAAAAAACATTTTCAATTATCGCTAACAAGGTAGGTAACTGTATTTTAAGCTTTTAGGATATATTATATCAACTGTTTGTGTGTCTTGAACAGAATTTGCAAACTGTTACCTTATAAGAAAATCCATAACTACTTTTGGGCCTACATTGGCCCACTTATCAGCTATAAATAATTTGTTGAGAACTTTAAAAGCATCATTAATTGGAGAGTATAGAGTACAAAATATCCAAGGTCAAAATTTGAGATTTTTGAGTTAAGTAGAAAAAATGATATGCAATAATTTGTTATGAAACTATTAGGTAGTTCATTCTGACATTTCTCTCTCTTACACACACACAAGTATGCTTATACTTGCACACACATATTACTCATTAAGTGTTGATCCTATCTATTATACAGATGTACAAACACAAGATTCATTGGAAAAAGTGAAAGAAAGTTGAAAAAAATTAGAGAAAGTAGTAGCTAAAACTAGGAAACTAATGGATTTGTGGGCTTTGTCCTCTTGTGCCAAAACCGTCACAACAGTAGAAACAACAATATAGACACTAAATATGTGGATGCTGATGACCATGAACCTCATCATATCAAATTGAGACCTTGCCCTCAATCAAAAAGTGCCAAAAACATAACTGCCAACCAAAACTGTGAAAACAATCACATAGAGACTACTGATGAGATTGAGATTACTTCTTGCCAGTATATGGATACAGATTTCAGTGCATCTACAAAATCAATTTCAGGTGACAAGTATACACATCGATGCTCAAAGACTCTTTTTGTATCACAAGCAACTGAATGGAGAAAAGGTTAAAACAGACTGTCTCACCATCATAGCAGAACATTGTCTGTGTTATGTAAACAATTTGTTTTCAACAGCAATGGAAACTTCTTTACTAAAAATAACTGGTTACTCTTACTGGAAACATGTTACAAGCTGAAAAAACAAGCTCACTGCATCATCAAATTTGTTATTTGTAAAGTCAAACGCAGACAAATTGGCAAGACAGATGGACCTAGAGAAAAAGTGCTAGCAACAAGTTTTAGAGCATATTCTCTCAGTCATAAAATTTCTATCATCCAGAGAGTTATCATTCAGAGTAAGGGATGAGGTAGTTGGTTCAATGCATAATGGCAACTACTTAAATATATGGAGCTATTGGCTGAATATGATACATTTCTTGCTGAACACATTTAAAAACGTGCAAATAAAGGAAAATATCATGTTTCATACTTATCCTCAACTGTTTGTGACAAATTAATAGAATTCCTACATAAAGAAGTTCTCACCGCCATTATCTGGGAAATCAAAACATCCAAGTATTATTCAGTGTCTGTTGATTCTACTTCAGATATATCCCACACAGATCAACAGACAATAACCTTTAGATACATTCTGGATGATGGCCACGTTCTTACTAATAAACAATTATGCAGGAGCAGAACTTGTTAGAATTCTCATTAATTTCCTTGAAAATAATGATATAAGAATTCAAGATTGTCGTGGACAGTCCTGTAACAATGCATCAATATGAGCAGCAAATTTGTTGGCATGCAAGCCTTAATCAAAGAGAAGAATCCCCTAGCAGACTAAGTTCCCTGCTGTACACATTCACTTAATTTGGTTGGGCAATGCACTGTGGATTGTTGAACTGAAGCTTGTTTATTCTTTGCCTTTGTGCAGAAGTTTTATGTATTTTTCTTACTTCAAATCCACCTGTGGAAGTGCCTACACAATTTACTTGAAAAACTAGGGTTCCTGACAATAAACAGGTTATCAAACACAAGATGGAGCAGCCATTCAGATGCAATGCGAGCCTTATAAATGGGATACAAAGCCATAATACAAGTCCTCGCTTCCATTAAAGACAATAACTCTGAAAAGCCTCAAGTGCACCTAGAGTCAAGAAGCCTTATGCTACAATAGGAACAACTACAAAAAGATATAATGACGGAATTACGGAGTTTTATCCTGGAGAGGTTTCACAAGACAAGTATTTCCTTACAAAACTCCCAAGTGGATATCAATACAATTTCTCATCTGCAAAAATCTCTCAAGACATTTGTGAAGGAATTACAAGATATGAGGAAAAGGGTAAACAACTGTCAGGATGCAAAGCATATAAGATAAGGTCATAGAAAAGGAAGACAAGTATGCAATGGTATGAAAAAGATGCTGAGGACAGTAATTTTTCACCCTCTACTCAATATAAAGTACAGACTTCTTAACAATAATTGACAAATCCCTTGCAATATACAACAGAATAGTGTCATATGAAAATGTCATTTGCAAATTTTGGTTTCTATGAAACTTAGAGTCCATACCTACAGATGACCTCCACATTGTCATAAAAAATCTGATTAATACATATGCTACAGACTTGGAAAGAGGAAGAAATTGTTCAATTTGCTGCCCTCTGAAAGGCAGGGATTGTTGAAAAACCATCAGAATCCAAGGAACAAAGTATGCTGAGAATGATATGCAACCAATCTCATAAATCAACTTTCCCAAGCATCCTGATAATTTTAAGGATGTACCTGTGCCTCGTGTAAAGCAATTGTTTGGGAGAAAGACCATTCTTGACATTAAAAAGGATAAAGAACATACTGTGATCAAAAATGTGCCAAAACAGGCTAAGTGCACTGACACTTTTGTGCATAGAAAATGAATTGTTAGAATCACCTGACACCAAACAGATCATAAATGACTTTGCTACAAAAAGAGCCAGGAAGACAGTAGTTTAACCAAGTATAGATGACATGATATGTTACTACCGCTGAGCATAATATGTAAGTACCAGTGTTATCTAAGTGTGTGTGTGTGTGCATTTGTTTGTTTATTTGTGTATGCACATGTGAATGTGTGAATTGTTGAGTTGATATATATATGTAGTTTCTTTATGTTTCCCAGTGCAAGTTTTATGTGTTAGAACACAACTTTCCTACTCAAGAAAAATCTAATATATATTAACTTGTAGACCCTTAATCCACCCATCTATTGGAAATGGTTTATCAGGTGTTTTCAACCAAAAGACTACCTCTGAAATGTCAGTTTTCCACCAGTTCTATGAAATGAGCAGAAAGCATTCTTGTATATCTTGGCCATACTTTAGCATCTAACTTTTAGTGTTGACAAACTAGCACTGTTATTGCAAGTGCAAGCTTCATTTGGCTGTGTGGTACTATCCCTAAAAAATTCAAAGTTTTTTGCCATTATTTGCTGTATCACTGGCAAAAACTGTTCCATCCTACTCTGCACTGTTCATAAAATTTTCACCTTGATGTGCAGTGATATCCTGACAATTGATCAAATATGTTTGCTTCTGCTTGGTAACCAAGTTGGGTCATATAGCTCTATCTCAGAAACTGATAAAAGTTTGAAACTATATAGGTAGCCTACTTCTAATTGCACAAACTCTTGTTCAGCTGAAAGTTTGTGGGACTTATCAAACAAACCATAATCAAAAGGCATTTTGATTGACCTTTTACAAAGACCAGTATTTTTAGAACCATAATGAGTATCAAGTTTTGAACAAATTCATAGCTCATCTGAATGTAAACTCACCTGTATCTTCAAAGTTTGATATGTCAATTAAACAACCAGTCTCCCTAGGAAGCTATTAATATGCATTTGCACATCAACAGTTCTAGGGTTGCATTTTTCTGCAAATGCCTTGTAATCCTGAACCATATGTGTACAGGTGGGGGTCGAAATGCATATGCCTTGACATTTTACAGAGTGCCACTTAATATGGTATTATGTATTTGATGTGAGTTATCAACTATTCATTTTACCCTACAATGTTGATTTATTGAAAGTTTGTGGTAGAAGATGTTGAATGCTAGATATTATATAGAGGAATACTGAAAAAAGTGTAGACATGAATTTTATGTAAATAAAATATGGATAAAAACATTTTTATTCTTCAGATGAATACCACCTTGCACTTCAACTTGTCAGACTTCAATTCACAAACACATTTTGTACATTTGATTAAAATCTTGCCATATTTTGTGTCAATTCAGAATCATAGTCAACATTCTTTCTCCATTAGAGGGTCAGTCCATTGGATCAACCCTTGGCACATTCGGTTAAGCCCTTAGTACACCTCTGACCAAAATATAGTCTGCTTGTGTTCGAGCTTGTACAAGCAATGTTAACAGTGCCATAATTTAGCAATGATGCAATTGATTTGCACTCTAAAGGTTGATTTATGTTCAGGAAGCATATAATATTATTTTTCTTTATTGGGAAAAAATGTATATTCAAAATTGGACAAACATTAGTTCCTATTATCATGAAATGGCTGTTAAAAAGCATTTTATTTTCATAGATGAAAAGAATAATGATGGATTATTTCAAAAACAGTGATTAAGAATGACAATACTATTTTAAGTATACAAGTACTGCACAAATATGTATCAAACCAAAAGAATATTCCCATGTTGACCTGTTTATGTAAAATAATATTTTTTCACTACATAAAATAGACAGTATTGAGCATAAAATACAAACAAACTAATCAGTAATGTTTGCCTACAGTAGTTTTATAAATACAAATTCTTCACTTGGGTCATTTTCACAAATGTGAAAGACTTCATTATTACGGCTTACAGAGTAAACAATAGTAACACGAGTATTGTTAGGTTACCTCCAACAGCGCAATATTATAAGAGTAAAATTGGTAATATTTCACAAACCAAAAGTAAATGATTAACCAAATATTCCTTGTATACATGTACCAGTTATAGACATTTATCGTCATCTGAGAACTTACCTGCTGGCTCATGTAAATAGGAGAGTGATGTTAAATCATTCTCACCAACAAGAATTTCAGGATTTCTGAGAGGTGGCAATTTTTCAGGAGTATCAATTTTTAGTGTTTCTCTCTAAAGACAAAAATAACTTAAAATTATAGTTACATAACACGTTCTACAACATGAACAAAAGTCTATCAAAATAACATTCTACTGAGCACTATTTGATTCTGTAGCAGAATACAAAATCAATAATTAAACAAAACTATTATTTTAGTTCATGAAAAATTTTCATTTGATAGTCATTATGACTGTTTTTTCTTCAACATGCATAATGTTTTTTAGAGATGAGTAAATTCTGTCAGTCTTTTTTCTGATAAAATAAAAAATTAGTATTACATAAAAGTTCAGCATTTTAACCTACCTCACCATCTTCATATTCAACAACTATTTGTTTATTATCAAAGTCTTTAACAACTTCAGCTCCTTTCCACACCAGCTCTGCATCAGGCATCCAGACCCGAGCACCCTGGAAGTTAGATGTTTAATCAATATTTAGTATTTTGTAATGCAAAAAACAATATACACTTGCATACATGTAAGTGTTTTTAAAACAAAAGAGTGTATATCTACATGATGTGCAATGTATGCAGGTGGGTTTACAAATCTACACATGTGTGCAAGTTTATATCCCTAGATTCTATAATACTTAGAATGGTGGTCTATCCTGCCATTTGAATATTCCTATGTATCTATACAGTATCCCATTCTGCTGTTTTACTTACATGTTCAGAATTCACTGCAATATATATTTGGTTGATATCAATGAACAATAGTATGTTGCATTATTAATTCAAATATTGTTTTTATCTCAAAAGTTAAAAGATCTTTGTTTTACTACATAAATTTAGAATATACTTTATGAAAATGAATATTTAAGAATAAGATAAAGTACATAAAAGTACTTGTATACATTAATTGGATCGTATATTAACATGAATTTTTTTAAAACACAAGTCTTGATTCTACCTGTACATACATAAGTCAAGTTTTTACCTGTACATACACAAGATTTTACCTGTACATACACAACTATAATTTCTGAAATAACTTTTTATAAATTAGAATTTGTCATTAATTTCTTTATTAAATATTTATTTTTACATTGCCATGCTCATTAACTATAACTTTCTTATGTTAAAAATATAACAATACATATATACAAACAAAAAACCTCAAAGTTTGACTCCAACAAAACCTTTAATGTGGTTTTGTTGGTTCCACCCATTTACACTCTTAGAGTGGGTGATCTGAGAGGAAGGTGTAGGAAACCAACAACTGTAACATGTACCACACCCATCACAGAGATAACCAAAACTGGTTTTCACTCTTCCCTGTTAAATCAATATTTGTCAATTACTTAACTTACAATGAAGTTTATTCTTCTCATATCTTTGTCCATTTCTTACATTTGATGGAAGTTCTAAGACTAAATTTAGTTTTGTAATCAACTAAAGTAATCACACTTGCAACACAAAAAATGTTTTTCCTAAATGTTTAATATGTATCAGTAATTTGTTTTCAAGCTCATACAATTAAGTTTTTCATGGACTATTATACTCAATCAAGTAATTATAGCTTGCTCTAAACTACTTCCATTCAAGTCAAAATTAACACATTCAAAAGGTAATGTACTCATCTAATTTCAAAATTTAATTTTGTTTTAATATATTAATTTTAGAGGTTGCCTGGGGCAGAAAATCTGTAACCAGATATTTGTGGAAAAATACCCCAAAACTAGTTCTGTTCAGGTAAAAAAAAACTGAAATAAACTGATAACAAACATTAATCTTTTAAGTGCATAATACATAGTTAAATGTGGTATACATATATTTCTTATCTTCAGATCTGTAGATGTTTGTAGAATATTTTATAACTGATGATGACTGTTTCAACCTCATCTTTACTACATCTACCAGACATTTATGTTTACAACTGCACCATTTATATTTTATACATTGGCCTAAATCAGGCCTCAACATATCCTGGATGCCAGGTAGCCATGACAACTACAAATTTCATTGTGGCACTTGGTATTTTTTCTCATAGAGCTGCACTAAATAAACCTTGAATTTAGAACAATTCTGGACTTTTTTGAAGTCTGGAATTATTTTTGCATAAAATTGAGTCCTAAATTGAACTTTGTTTCTAGGATTTTAATGGCAGATTCAGCACTTCGTGCTTCTCAGAAATGAAGCACTACAGTTGCACAACAAGTTACTAATTTCACACCATTTGTTTTTCTTCTTTCTCTCAATTTAACCAATCAGTGCACATGTTTAGACCAAAGGCAGTTAGTTCAGGCAATAATATTGAGTGGTTACTGATATCATGTGATCATTAGCATGCACTCATTGCTGTGAAAGTAAATAAATATACACTGGTGCCTTGATAATCCGTGCTGGTCTTGGAAAAGCAAAAAATCATGGACAACAGAACCAGCAGATAATCAAAATTCTAGTGTATCTCACTAGTTAACCCATGTTAAATATAAATAAAAATTTTCAATATATCTAAGTTTCTTGTTTTAAATTATAACCTTCTAACTTTTATTAACACATCTGTTTAACACATGTGTTTAATCAGATTATTGTGAAATATTATAAAAGTTGTCACAATCATCATAATCAAGTGTCGATTAGTCATGTGCAATTGCTCCAAATTTTGTGAGTTACACAAGTCCAATTCCACTTTTTCTCCTATAATACTTCCTCTTTTGATTGCCCATTCCAACTTTAGTTGAATTTAATAGCTAAAATAAGCATAAATAGCTCCTAAATTTTGGCATTTTTTCTACTATAGACACAGAAGTGCATTCTTACCCTATCAATAGCTGTGAAAAATAAGTCAAAAATTAGCCCAAATCTATGTTTGAGAATTATTATGAAAAAAGCCTTTGTTTTAACAGACTGAAGATACCAATTATCTATAGGGAATGGGACAATGTGTAACTGGGCAACACCCCAACACAACTTGAACATGCATCTGTGGTTAAAGAACACCTAAAGTCGAGTGAAATCTCTTAAGAAATCTTGATGTGAATTTTGTGTTTTTTGTATACCATGTTTTCAATCACTAATCAAATAAAGTTAATCAAGTTACAAATATTTTGTTTTCATATCTTAACAGCTAAAAGTAAAAGAGGCAAGGCTAGTCTTGAACTGGCTGACTTACAATTTTAACGCAAGCCAAATCCTGCATGCAAAAACCCCAGATATCATGCAACACCCGAACTTTTGCAACCAAAATTAATTTCTGAGTGACAATTTCTCCAAAACATGTAAATTATTGTTGATAATTGTAATGGTACAATTATTTTGAGAAAATCTGGGAAAAGAAAAACTGCGTATAACTAAGGATTGCAGATAATGGAAGAGTGAATAATTAAGGCACTAGTATAGCCTCTATTTCCCAGTACAAACAGTAGTGAAGTTAGGTTAGGCACACCTGGCTCCTAGATCTGAAAATATACGTCAAGGCCTGGTCTAAATTCTCAAATCGATAAATACTCAGCTAGTAAAAAGAAACTCAGAACCAATCTCAACATCTACTTGACTTTTTGAGCAATTATTTCAATCTCTAATTCATTTTATGGAAAGAGTATACTGAGAAAAGTAACTATTTAAACACATTTTCTTTAGATTCTTTTCATATTAGTTGTTTTTTTTGTAAGTACATGTAGAAGTCTGTAATGATGAACAAGAATAGCAGATACATATCTACCTCTGCAACAATGTTAATAATGACAAACAGTAAACTAAAAAGTGGTAATTTGGTTTCCTTTCAAAAGTTGAATGTGTTAAATTAATATCAAGTCACTTTAGTTTACCTAACAATAATCATCTCTTCCCATATACTTGAGAGGTTTAATTCTAAATAGCATGTAATGTATTTAATTCCATTTATAAAGAATAACAAGGGTCAAATGCTATCATGTTTTCTACTATATACCAACCTACTACAAACTACGTAAAATAAAAACTTTTCCCATGTCTAACTCTGGTATTTCTTCAACATTGTATTTCTACCACACCTGAGAGCAAATTATTCCATACATCAACAACCCTATTAGAAAAGTATCACTGCCTTCAACAGAGATTTGTTTGGTTTATGGATTGCAAATCTCTAACAATTTTTAAAACCTCAATTACATGTGTACGAGTCAAGAAGTTTCAATCTACAGTATTCCCATACAATAACTCTTCCAAACTTGGAATCATCCTAGTAGCTCTTCTCTGAACACTTTCAACAACTCAACATACTTTCTTAAGTAAGATGATCAAAACATTTCACTGATGACCTCAATGTCAATGTAAGTTTGTACTGTGCCTTTAGTTCACAAATATACAGTAACTTAAGCTTCAAAGTGAAAAATGTAAAAAACAACAACTTGAAAATATGAGTTTTTCCATGTTAAATATATTCATTAGTGCTATCTCCTCATTCCCAAAATAAGATCATACTTATGTATGTACTAAATTTATACTATACATAATGGATGGTTACATACATCTAACAAGTATTCTCAGTTTCTATTACTATTCGATTCATACTTGAATTTGATCAAATGATAATTTTCAATTTTATAAAATACTGTATCTTGTATAGTGACCTTATTATATGAGAGTTGAACTTGTCTTTACATGAAAGCTAACAAAAATTAATATTTTCTTTATCTGAAAATGTATTTCATTCAGATACTCTCCTCTCTACACCAGAAAGAGCTCTTACCTCATGTGTGTTATGTATACTGCTGTGCAATTTTCTGCTCATGCCATAAGCCTTGAACATAGCTCCCACTCCAAAACATGTCCACATGTATTGCACTAGCCTATGATGTAATTATCATCAGACTATACCTCTCCACCAATAGAAAGGCAACACTGGCTTCTCAGTGGGTTCCACCATCTCCAAAATATAAATACATTTTGAATAACATGGTTGTGAGACCAGAAAAGATGAGAAAAATAAACAACTTACCATCAGATCCACCGTGTAGAATGAAGAATGGTGACTCAAAGGACACAAAAGCCAGAGAACGTGAAACCTCCCTATGGTATAAGAAATGGGACACTAATGTGTCAAGAGTCGTCCATGTCTCTAACAGCAAGATCTCATACAAGCAACATCAATGGCATGTAGAGTTTGTGATTGGATACCAAAATGTAAGTGATGTGTGGAAAGGCAGTAATGATAAGACACTCATAGTAGGAGCAAAGTCACTGAAAACACTAGAAAATGGAGAAACTCTTCTGTTTTAAGGGTTCAGAACTAGGCAAAATAGTCAATATATAACTAGGGCCTGAGTCTTCAAGACATGACAGATTAATAACTAATTGTGGTGGTTATGGGCCCATAAGAGAATGTCCATAGCACGGAAAACAGAAGTGTCTCCCTGCAAGGGGCAAGGAAGAAACAGCAAGTGTTTCATAATAAGAAAAGACAGTCAAGACAGAAAATGATGGCAAG